GACCACAGTGGGGCACCTGGTGCCACCTCCCTGCCCCAGCAGGGCCATCCCAGAGCACATGGCACAGGATTGTGTCCAGGTGGTCCTGGAATATCCCCGGGAAGGAGATTCCACCCCCTGCCTGGGCAATCTGTTCAGTGCTCGGTCACTGCACAGACACAAATTCTCCCTCGTGTCCGGGTGGAACTCCCTGGGCATCAGTTCCTGCCCATCCTCCTGTGCCATTGCTGGGACAAACTCAAAGTTCCTCCATCAGCCAAATTCCTACAGATTGTGCCCAGTTTTACCCAGCGTGGGAATAAAGGAGAGCAGCGCTTCCAGGGGGTTCAAATATGGAATTCCCTTCCTGTGGGACCTCCACAAGAACCTTCCAGATGATTTTAACCCCACCTCGATCCCCCATCTCTGCCCCACTTTTCCAGCTGGGAGTAGCTGCCCCCCTCAGAAATCCCGGGAAAGGGAAGCATTCCCAGCTGTTTCAGGCCTCCCTGAGACTTCCAGGCATTTCCATGGATAAACTTTCCGGGTTTGTCCTTTCTTCTGGCACGATCCAGACCAGCTGAGGAGCTTTGCTCTTTCATAGCCCCGAGTGCTGACAGGGATGGGAAGGCCCTTCTCCTCGATCTGCAACTGTTGGCCTGGAATTCCTTGGCTCTCTGGAGCTGTTTCATGTGGAAAAATGGACAAATCCCGAGGGAATTCCACACACTGCCTGTTCCCCCGGCCTTCTGAGGGACAAACCCCTGGGAGAGAACCCTGCCAGGGATTTCCAGGGCTCCAACCACCCTCAGCTTCCCAAAGGTGCCACAAACTCCCCAAGAGATCCAGAGGAACGTGGAGTCCTTCTCTCCTTTGGCTCTTCTTTGTCACCATTGGAAGGAACGATAGGTCAAGATCCTGCAGCTGCCAAGGGAACTCTCCCAGGAAAAACCCATTCCTGGTTGGTACCTGCGTGGAATATTCTCAGCCAGCTTCCACTCTTCCTCAGTCCTTGGGATTCCCCAGAGGGAAAAGTCATCAATAACATTAATAACATTAATAACATTAATAATAACAGCACAGCTTTGCTATTATCAGTGACATTTGGAAGCTTCAAATGGTTCCAAGATGTTGGTTTACTCCCTGAAAGCTGCTTTTTATTGGGAGTTTTCTGCTCTCTAACAATCAGGGAATCAATCCAGCCCGAGTTTTATGGGGACTCCCGGCGTGGTTTTCTGTCAAATGTCGTAATCTGAAGGGGGAAAAACAACCCTCCAAAGCTCGAAGGAGTTCCTGGATCTCTCTTTTAATGGGGATTTTAAAAGGGAGACGGGATGACAAGGGTTGGGCAGGAATGGTCTCGCTGGGCCAAGGAAAAGGGGTTGGGTTTCTGTAGTAAAGCTGGAATTTTGTGCTGGAAAGAGGATTGGAGGGAAGGGATTGAGCCCCTCTGATCCCCCCCCAGGTGAGACCCCCCTGCAGAGCTGCCCCAGCCCTGGGAACAGCAGCAGGAGGACGTGGAGCTGCTGCAGAGAGTCCAGAGGAGGCCCCGGAGCTGCTCCCAGGGCTGGATCCCTCTGCTCTGGAGCCAGGCTGGGACAGCTGGGGGGGTTCCCCTGGAGAAGAGAAGGATCCAGGGAGACCTGAGAGCCCCTGGCAGGGCC